TCCCTCCCTGCCTCCCCCCCCTTGCGTCTCCTGCCTGCTTCCTTTCGCTGACCCCCACCCCCCCGCCCCCCGTCTGTCTTTCCAGCTCACTGCAGTTCTGGGTGCATTTCTCATGTCCTGGCCCACCTGCTGGGCCAGGTCCCTTCCTTTGCATGTGTGCACTTTACCTGGTGGCATCTCTTCACTGGTGTGCCTTCTCCCTTCCAGGTCTCAAATGCTGCCTCTGCAGGGAAACCCTCCCTGCCCGTGGGACACCCTCACCACCCCTCCCTTTAGCCCTGTGGCTCTGGAGCTGCCCTGTGCTCTGGTTTACACGTTTTTCTGTGTCTTCACTAGGATGGGCTCAGTGGGGCATGGCCTGGCCTGTCTTGTTCTCGTGGTGTTGTTGGTACCCAGAACAGGACCCGGCACTCAGAGGGTGCTCTGGGAATATTTGTGGGCAGAGGAATAAAACCGGACCAAACAAGGCCCACACTGTCAGCTGTTTTCGGAAACTCCATGAGGGCTAAGCACGTGTGTCTGGGCTGCCTTATGGGGATGCCACTGTGGGTCACGAGTGCTGCCCCCTGACACACAGGGATCCCCCTGTCTTCCAGGGTGTGACCTGAGCGTCCGGGTACACTTTAGTGACAGTCCTCTGCTTAACCTCGGGCCTCCTTTCCTGGGTCGTCCGGTAGGTGTGCCGGGTGGAGGGAGGCAAGGGCGGCAGACACGGATGTCTCCGGCTCTGCCTGGGCTTGGCGCTCAGCAGCCCTCCCCACCTGCCCCGCATCACCCGCTCCCAAAGGTGCACTTCTCATCCTTCCTGAAGGCACTGATCCTGGGGCTTTTCTGATGTGACCGCCACGTGAGCTGGCTCTGCACCTGCCTCCGCCATCTCATTTTGCGCTGAGTCTCTTTCCCATCGGCTGGTCTGGGAGCGTCTGCACAGGACTCTAAGACACCAGGGTACGGAGGCCAGGCGAGTGTTTTCTCCCGGGGCCACGCTGGCTTGTGCCATAAACACCTTGCTGTGAGCAGGAGGATGCTGGCCGAGGGCCCGACGCAGACCCCGACCTGGAGGGCATCCCTCTTCTCGAGACAACTGAGCCAAAGAGCAGGAGAAGCTGATGGAGAGCCCCGGCTCTGCCAGGTGCAGCCCTAAGTATTTTACGTATGTTAATAGTAACATTTGGGGACCATTCTTCCCATTTTGTAGGTGAGGCAGCTGAGAGACAGGCACTTAGGCCATCTTTCCATGCCACCCAGTAAGTGGCAGACACCAGTGATTTCAAAGGGAGGTGCTGTCCCAGCAGCTGCCTGCTTCACCTCATACTCTCAGGGCACACCTGGCGTTGGAGCTCCTGCCAGTGTGTCCGGCAGCCCCGGCCCCGCTCCCCTCTGCAGCTCATACCTCCTTCTGCTGGGTCAGGTGGTTCTCCAGATCCTGCACTTTCCTCTTTTCAGTCTCTAAGGCTTCCCTTGCTTTTCTTTTCTCCTGGGCCATGCTGTTCTCCAACACCTGAAAGCCAATGACCAGTCCTTTGGTGGCCTGCATGTTTAGGGGGAAACTGCTCTGGTGAGGATGATGACAATGACAGTAGCTGAAATGCTGGAGTGACGATTACATGGCAGGGCCATGGCCAGTGCACCACTCACAGCATGACCTTTACTCTCAGGGCACCCTCCTAGAGAAGCTGTTTGCGACCCTGCTTTATAGGTGAGGAAACAGAGGGACAGGAAGTTGGCGAGGGCCCCAGGTCACGCCGTTTGAATCTGGCGCAGAGGAAAGTGTACAACCTGCCTCTGGAGGCCTTGGGGAGGGAACGAGGATGCAGAGGGAGCCAGGCCTCTCACCACTGGACCAGGCAGCCTCTGATAAAAGAAGGATCTCATTAATAATGGAATTTGCCGTTACTGAAATAAATCTCACGAGGAGAATCCAGTTTCAAGAGGGAGGGCAGTGTGCTGTGTTGACAAGCCACAGTATGCTGATTTCTAGAAGGGGAAGCAGTGCTCAGGTAGGGCAGGGAAGGACGCAGGTTAGTATGTGGAGCTCCCGGTCAGGAAATATTAGCCAGGAAGCTACTTGCTGCTAACCTACTTGGCAAAGGGGCTTAATGCAAATCAGCAGCAGATGTAAATTGCTGGCCTGGTGACAGAAGGGGCACCTCAGCTTTTTTTTTCTACAGAGAGATCTTTTGCTATAGGGTGCATGTGCTTGCTGGAGAGACAGAGAGAGACAGAAAGCAAACAATCACCCCCCCCCCAAGGGGTTGGCCATGCTGCAATCTCTTCTCCTCTCGGGATTTTGGGCACACATGCATATGTGCCCAGCGGGTTTTAAGCTGCTGGATCCAGGACTTGAACCACGGTCAACTAGGCAAGAGTCCAGAGATGTAACCATTACATCATCTGCTTGTCCCGGCACCTAGACTTTCAAATGGATTGTCACGTAAACACCAGGTTGACTGTCAGGTGCTTGGAACTCAGAACACGGTTTTCAGTAGAACGGGTGGTCAGAGATCCAGGGGGGCCACAAGCTTAACATGAAAAAGATTTAACTCATATATGGTTCAAATATAATATCTCCCGAGATGTTATATTTATTCTATAGTGAAAAGGGGTTTAAAAAACTCCGACACCTTGCTGTCACTGCCAGCCCTAAGTGGAGCAGAAGCACAGAGTCACGAGAGTGACGTTTGCTTGGCCTGTGTGAGGAGGGCTTTGGGGTGCACTTTCCTATAAGCTGTGGCAGCAGCTCAGAGGCCCTCCCCTGTGAGAGTGCTGCTGGCTGCTCCGAGTCTGACCTCACCCCCCTGAGGCTTCCTCTGGGCAGTGCCCCTGCAGCGGGCACGGGCACACCGAGAAGAGAGACCTTGCATGGCTCACACCAGATCTGCAGGGCTTGCAGGCTCATGGTAACTGGTTTTTCCTTCTGCCATAAGGCATATGTGTTTGGCATATGCACTCAAAGGAAGAGAGAGAGAGAAGGGGAGAGAGAGAGAAAGAAAGCAAGCACCCCTGGGTTGTGTGTGGCCATGCTGAAATCCCTTCCCCTCTACTTTCCTCTAGGGATTCTGAGCACACACACGCACATGCCCAGAGTATCCTTCAAGCCACGGGGTCCGAGACTCAAACCGTGCATGCACACCTGGCTATGTGCACTCCAACCACCTTAAATCACCACTACACCTGGCTGACCCGACGCGAATTAACCTTTAACATGACAGCAAACCCCAAACTATGACCTCGTGATTCTGTCGTCCTTAAAGATGCCACTGAAAACGCAGCGAGGGTCTAACACAAAGGAAACCCAGTAACCATTGGGGTGCAATGAAGCCTGCGGCCAGGACAGCTAACTCCAGTTCCTCCACAGGAAACACAGACGTTCTGCCAGAAGTGGGCTGGTGTTTTAATCCCCTAGGGGTGACTGGCCACTGCTCCTCTCTGCAGTCAAACTTAACTCTTTCTCCTGAGTACCCTGTGACCTCGAAATCTCTAAATGAAAGCAAGCACCCCTGGGTTGTGTGTGGCCATGCTGAAATCCCTTCCCCTCTACTTTCCTCTAGGGATTCTGAGCACACACACGCACATGCCCAGAGTATCCTTCAAGCCACGGGGTCCGAGACTCAAACCGTGCATGCACACCTGGCTATGTGCACTCCAACCACCTTAAATCACCACTACACCTGGCTGACCCGACGCGAATTAACCTTTAACATGACAGCAAACCCCAAACTATGACCTCGTGATTCTGTCGTCCTTAAAGATGCCACTGAAAACGCAGCGAGGGTCTAACACAAAGGAAACCCAGTAACCATTGGGGTGCAATGAAGCCTGCGGCCAGGACAGCTAACTCCAGTTCCTCCACAGGAAACACAGACGTTCTGCCAGAAGTGGGCTGGTGTTTTAATCCCCTAGGGGTGACTGGCCACTGCTCCTCTCTGCAGTCAAACTTAACTCTTTCTCCTGAGTACCCTGTGACCTCGAAATCTCTAAATGTAAGGCCTCCCCTGGTCCCATGCTGTTGACCTCTCGATGGCATTTGACTCAAGTGACTCCTTGGAGACCCTCCTCCCATCCCGGCGGCGGACCTCCGTGACTGTTTACAGAGGGCTGCAGGGGAGACGCTGAGTGAGGATGGCTTATCAACATCTGTCCTCCGTCAGCTCAGATTGCTCAGGTGTGCACAGGGTCGACTTATTTCTCCCTCAGTGGTGGTGGGGTGGGGGTGGGGCAAGGAGTTTACTCTGAGGAGTGAGGTTGGCGAAGATACGTACCTGAACAGAAGGGGCGGCAGAGGTGATAACGACACCTGCTCCCACTTACTCAGCAACGATCCAGGTCAACCACGCCATTACAGCGCAGCTAATCCTCACAGACACTCTTTATTGATAGCTCTGCCGCAGCCAGTGAGTAGCCTAAGCAGGACGCGAGCTTGCATTTCACCTGGCTGCAAAGCCTGTGCTCCTCTGGGCGGTCTCAGAATTGAGGGATTAATGAGAGCATATGTGAACAAGGCCTGAGGGTCTGAGGGGGGCCACAAGCTAAGCGTGAATCGACGATGTAATGGTTTTCCCAAAAGCAAGTTTGGATGCATTAAGCGAAGTACAACATTCTCAACAAGGGAGCAGAGAGTCCTGTTCTAGGCTGCCGTGGCTGGAGAAGAGAATCTGGCCCTGGCTACCACACTTTAAGAAGAAAATGAGTGATGGTAGCAAGGTCAAAAGCCTACAGAGGCTAGAACAGACACCAAAAATGAGATGGGCTACCTTTAGTACAATAGGGAGTGGTGAGGACCGCAGCAAAACTACCGCTACTTGGTTCAGCTCCAAGTTCACTTTTGCCAAGTGAAAATGAGGGCCAAATTGACTGACTTTTAAAGAGAGGATGGAAGTCTGGATTTTCAAATAAATTTTATAAATTCAAAAGAAAACATTCTGGGGCCAAACAAAACATATCCACCGGCTCTTCTCAGTCAGTAAGCTGCCAATCTGTGAGTTCTGGAGAGTAAAGCCGGCCAGAAGATGGGTCCAGTGCCAAGCTGGCATCCTGTGAGGCACTCGAGGAGAAGCAAGGGGGTTGGGGCCCGGAGAGGAGCAGCCGCAGAGAGCAGAGAGCAGGTGCCTCGATTTTCCAGCATCTGAGTTATTATCAAATGTGGAAGAAGAAATGGAAATGTCTCACAGGACATGTAAGGCGCAGGTGGAGAAAGTGTGACCCAACTCAACCTAAAGGAAAAACACGCTCTGCCAGCCGAGGCACCCACACCAGGCTAAGGAGAATTCCTTGATGGTGGTGCTGAAAGTTGGACGATTTTAGGAAGTCGTCGGGGGATTTGTGTAGCCCTGAAGGCCCATGACTCTGTCATCCCCCATTTCTAGGCGCTCAGACATAACCTCCAAGCAGAAGCCCAGTCACTAGTCTACATTTGTGCCTTAAGCTGTTTACAACTGCTTCCCAACCGGTGGCCAAGGCTCCAGCGCCCAGGATCCCTCCTTCAATGGTCCACGCTTCCCAAGGAAGACGAACCTGCCCACGGACCAGTTCCCCAGAAAAGCTCTCCCACGGACTACCCCATCATCTTTGGTTCTGAACTTCCTTCCATCTGGCCCTCAAGCCAGGATCCGGCTCGAGTGGACTATCTCCCCGAGCTGCGTACCTCCTTCTGGCGGGCTAAGCGGTTCTCCAGCTCTTGGACTCTCGTCTGTTCTTCCTGTAACGCTTCCTTTGCTCTGTTTTTCTCCTGAGTAATGCTTTCCTCCAAAGCCTGAAAGTCAATGACCGTTGTTTAATAGGCATGGTTACCATGGCAGGACTCTGGACACTGTGCCAGGCACTGCGTGGTTTGCCTCTTCAGTCCTCACCACACCCCACGGAGAGGCTGGGCAGCACTGCCTGGGAGCTCAGAGCACGGCCCTGGGTCGGCAGGCCCGGAGCAGGGCCTCAGGTCCACACTTCTAGCCGGGGGGCCTTGGTCTGGGCTCAGGCTCAGCCGCTCTCCCTGAGCTGCCTGCATACCTTCTTCTGGAGGGCCAAGCGATTCTCCAGCTCTTGGACTCTCATCTGTTCTTCCTGTAAGGCTTCCTTCCATCTCTTTTTCTCCTGAGTAATGCTTTCCTCCAAAGCCTGAAAGTCAATGACTGTTGTTAACATGGCAGGGATCTGTACTCCGTCAGGCACTGCATGGCCTGGGCCTTCAGTCCTCACCAGACTGAGCAGTCATGGTAGAGACAGCGTGGCCTGCAAAACTGGACAGACTCACTATCTGGCTCTGTAAGGAAGAAGTTTGCCCACACCCTGTGTGCATGAACCAAGGGAATGCTGTTAACAACTCATACTAAAGAAAAGAATGCTAGACAGGTAAAGAAATGTCAGGGGCCAGCAGGTGGCGTGGTGGTTAAGGTGCTGGACTTCCACATGGCTGACTGCAGTTTGAATCCCAGACCCTGTGACTTGACCGGACCTGGTGGCTTAAAAATCATGCTGGATGAGTGTGTGTGCATGAGTGCCCAAAACCTCAGGAGGAGAATGGAGGAGGAGGGGTTGCAGCGTGGCCATCCCCTGGGGGTTGCTTTCTCACTTTTCCTCTCACCGTCTTTCTGTGTCTCTCTCTTATGAGTGCACATACCCTATGACCAAAGAAACGGTCAAGTTTTCCCAAGGGATCAAAGCCCTCAAACAAGTCAGGACTCATGAGAAGGGGCCTAGTTTGTGGGTTTGAACTCATGTATTTTTAGAAAGGGCAGGATGAGGGACATTACATGGCAAGAGAAGGATTCATGTTTCTTTCAGGGTCAGTCTGACCATTATTATAACAGTCCAAGAGGGGTGTCCCTCAACAGGAGCAGAAATGAACACGAGCAGCGTCGCGTTCTGTCTGGGAGCGCACCTGACGTGCTTCGTCCTCTGCAAGGGCTGGGGTGCCTTGAGGTCTGTGTGTTTCAAGGGCAAATTGAAGCCAGTCCTTGAGACACTGTCTGCCAGGAACAAGGCCATAAAGGCATCTGGGAAGCCCAGGCTGGTGTCTGAGGTAAGTGTTTAAGACAGTGGGGCCAAAAATACCGCGCCAGACCATGGAGAAAGTCAGTCGAAATGAAATAAGTAAGGCATCCCAAAGGCTGATGCCACGGGGAGAAATTAATGAAAAGGGTGAGGGAGGAGGTGGAGAGTTTTGGAAAGATTTTGAAGAGTTCTAGATTCTGTCTGGTTCGAGCTTCCTCCCGGTAGCATGATGCTGGCTTCTATATTTAGTTGTTCTTCAAAATGTACCCTCCTCGATTTACAGCTTTCATCAATATTACCTTTACGCAGCTCAAGTGCGACTTGGTCCAGTGGTTCTTTCTTTTTAACCTTTTATTTCACAAAAGGCAGAAAGGAAGAATGAGAGGCAAAGAGAAGAGGGAGGAGGAGAGAGTGTTACCAGGTGACTGGACATGGGTTTGAGGGTGGGAATGAAAGAGGCTGAGAGAGGAGTGGGGAGGTCTGGGGTTGGGGTGGGCGGCAGGTAAAGGTAGCCTAACTTGGTGTCACCGTGCTAGGGCTGGTGACAGATGGAGAGGGTGGCAGTATGGCCCTCCACAGGGGAAGAAAGGAGGTGCTGGGGAGAGTCAGGGTCCGGTGGGTCTGGGGCTGCTGCCTGAGGTGGGTGGGAGGAGGGGCACCATGCGAATGCCTCTGCACAGTCACCCGTCCCACAGACAGCGGTTCTCAGCCCTGGCTGTGTCCTGGAGTCACCTGGAGCACCCACAAAGCTGTGGCCTCAACCCGATGAGATCAGAACCTGGGCACAGGGAGGGGGATGTATAGATGCAAAATATAGTTAACCTCTAAAAGTGCAGGCAAAGGCGTGTGTACAGAGGACAGTGGCAATGAAGGCAGTGACACTGAGAGCAGGTCCCTGAGGATCAGAAAAGCCCACTCTGAGACCTGATTGCTTATCAGGTCTGCACCTTCTGATCCTGATTCAGTGCATCTGGGGTGGGGTTCAAGAATCTGTATTTTTTTTTTAAGAGATTTTTTGCTAGAGGTTGCATATTCTCGCCAGAGAGACAGAGAGAGATGGAAAGTGAGAAATAGCTTCCCTGGGGAATGGCCACACCACATGCCCTTCTCCTTCAGTCTCCTCTCAGGATTTTGGGCATGCACGCACACACGCCTGGAGTGAGTTTCAAGCCTCCAGGTCTGGGACTCGAACTGCTGTCGACTACGTGGGAAACCATTACACCGACTTCTGGTCTCAAATCTGTATTCTTACCAAAGTGTCCAAGTGGTTCCTATTGGACAACTCTGGGAAAGCCTTCCTCTAAGACTGCTCTAAGAAAATGGAGTTGGCTGCCGTAGCACCTGCACCCTCGAGAGCTGGCTAGAAATGTGGACTCTCAGGCTCCGACCCAGCCGGAGTCTGAATCTGCATTTTAGCAAGCTCCTCAGATTACCTGTGGTACCTTCGGGTTCGAGAGGTGCTCTGTTAGCTGTCTTCTAATTGACCTGATTTCTAGACCAATAAGTAGCAATTTGGCCATTTGCTTTCCCTGATATGTAGAAAGAGAAAGCAAAAGGTCAAAATTCTCTGCAGCTGACCTGGTGCACACTTAGAAAGTCTGCCAGTTACAAAGTAGGACCTGCAGTAATGGCCCGGATGTGGAAAACCATCTGCAACATATAAACAAGTCAAGTAGCATCACCCCGAAATCTCAAGAACCCTGCCTTTTCAAGTGGACTTTGCTGCGAGTTTCAGCATTCAAGCTTCATGTGAAATCCTCTAAAATTATTCACCCTGGGGACCAGCAGTAGTCAACTGTGGTTCGCGTCCCAGACCCGGTGGCTTAAAACTCAGGCCGGGCGCGTGTGCGTGTGCGTGTGTGCCCAAGATCCCGAGAGGACAATGGAGGAGAAGGGATTGCGGCGTGACCATCCCCCCTGGGGGATGATTTCTCGCTTTCTGTCTGTCTCTCTCTCTGTCTGTCTGGCGAGCACATGCGCCCTATAGCGAAAACCTCTCCAAAAAAAAAAAGAAAAAAAAGATTCACCCTGTATAATTTAGTCACATAGCATCGAACAAGAAGTAACTGCGATTCCTCCGTCTGAGCACAGGCCCGCACTTTCCCAGAGGAAAGGCCGTTCCGTCAGTTTCCAGCAGCACAGAAGGCGACAGGGACCACCTTACCATCTTCTCTTCCGTCAGCCTCCGGACTCTGGCTTTCAGCTTCCCCTCTTGCTCCAGCCTCTCCTCGTCCAGCTTCTCCTTCTCTGCCAGGTGCTCCTGCAGCTTGTTCTGCAGCAGAGACTGCAGGGCCTCCTGGGAACTGGTGATCTGGACCTGACACGCCAGAAAAGGAAATGGAAGCCATGGGGACGGGACCAACGCAATTCCCTTTATGAGTAATCAGTTTTCCTCTTGAGACATAGGTTTACACAAAGTTTTCTTAAAAACATAGACTTTACTTGGCCTAGTTACTAGCTAAAGAAATAGGGTATAGTGGCTAAGAACTAAGATACTGCTGCCAGCCTGCGGCCTGGGGTTAAGGGAACTGGATCTCTCGTGTCAACTGCGTGGTTTGAATCCTGGACCTGGTGGCTTGAAAGAATGCTGGGTGTGTGGGCTTAAAATCGTGAAAAGAGGGAGAAATGAAGGAGAAGGGACTGTGATGTGGCCATGCCCAATGGGGGTGGGTGCTTTCTCATTTCCCCCTCTCTGTCTCTCTCTGGTGAGCACACACACCCTTTGACAAATCAAAATAATAATAATAATAATAATTATTATATATATATATATATGTGTAAAATTCAGACTCTGGATCTAAGTAGACTCCCAGTTCTAGTTGTTTCCAGATGTGTTTTCATTTAGAAAAAAATGAGATAGGGACCAGCAGTTGGTGTAATGGTTACTGTCACTGGACTACCATATACTCAACCACGGTTCGAGTCCCAGACCTGGCAGCTTAAACTCACGCCAGGCACATGTGTGTGTGTGCCCAAGATCCTGAGAGGAGAATGGAGGAGAAGGGATTGCAGTGTGGCCATCCCCCCTGGGGGGTGATTTCTCGCTTTCTGTCTCTCTGTCTTTCTCTGTCTTTCTGGCGAGCACACGCACCCTATAGCAAAAACCTCTCCAAAAAAAAAAAAAAAAAAAAAAGAGAGATAAATAATAGTGTATATTGGGTCATTGGGAAAGTCAAGACACATTTTTGCATAAAAAATACATGATAACTTTCCTGATGACCTAATTGTTATTAGAGTTTAAGGATTAAATAAGATAACGATTGAAAATTCTAGCACGAAATAGATGCACGTGTATAGCAGCTAGAATTGTGATTATTTGCTGGATGTAAGAGAAAATGCAATGAGCCAGAAGTCATGAGACCTGGGCTTTTGTCTCGATTCTTCCACCAATTAGCAGAGTGCCATTGAAATAGTCACCGAGCCTGTCTGAATCTCAGTGTCCATATCTGTGAAATGAGAAGAACTGACTAGACCAGGGGCTAACAAACTACACTTCACACACCAACTCTGGTCCACCTCCTGTTGTTGTAAATAAAGTTTTATTGGAACAGAGCCATGCCCATCATGGTCATTCATTTACTTATCGTCTGTGATTGCTTTTGCTCCACAACAGTGTTGTTGAATATACATGACAGCTACTGTACGGTTTGCAAGGCCTAAAATAGTTACTATCTATCCTTTACGGAAAGAGTTTATTGACTGGGCTCAGGTCTCCATGGCTGTTAGGAAAGGTACCCCAATTCTTCACCCTTCCTCTACCCGGGTTTTGGCTATGTTCCTTGCAGCGTCCTTCCATACCTGCACCCTGACGCTGGACTAGACACTGACTTGCTTTGGCCAATGGGTATTAGCAGACATAACGAAGCAGAGGACTGAAAAGCACACTGTGATCAGGCCTACTTTCTCTTGCAATTCTGCTGTCTTTATGAGCACGTGGCCACTGGCTTGCTGGAAGAAAAGGCGCGTGGAACAGAGTCAGATCCCTCTAGCTGAAGCCACCCCAGATCAGCCAAGGGCCAGCCACAGAAATGCTGAGTGCCACTAGGGTTTTGTGGTCGCCTATTACACCGCACCATTGCGGCAGTAGCTGTCAGAATGAAATGATTCCTAAGGATCAGCTACCTACCGCTAGAATATTTCTTTTCTTTTAGTAATTCTGCTTCCTGTCCTATGGATAGCCACACATTTTTGAACTCTGATGGCTTTAACACTTTCAGGTTTTTGACCAAGGAAAACGAACGTTTTTAGCCTGGGAAGTTGATGGGGGATCACACCTCGTCTTTGCCCTTATCTTCCTGGGAGATGCCGACCACCCTGTCTAGACCTCTCTGTGTACAAATGGAGAAATATTTCAGCCACTGGAGGATGTGGACAGACTAGCTAATAGAGGGGAAAACAGGGCTTTGAACGTCCAGTGCTGGATAAACATCAAGGCAGTGGTGAAGTGAACTACGCAAAAAAGAAGATAAAAGAAGATACCTGCAGTTCCTGGGTCTGGCTCATAATTTTTTTATAATGTTCCATAAGATACACCAGGTACGAAGAGAACCCTTAAATAAGAGAAACAGGAAGGAGGTGAGTATCAATTCAATTCAGCGCCTTTGCTTTCTGAAAACAAAGCTTTTTTATCAGAAAGGTGGGTGAAGGCTCCCCTCCCATCAGGAAAATGGGAGCTTGTGTTTTTAAGATGGTTGATAAGACTTGGTTGGGCTCAAATCCAGGCTTCTGTTTGGAGGTGCAAAATTAAAACCCATCACCGGGATGCCTGTATACTAAGCTTCTACCGTGTGTGAAACTCTGCGTTGATGGTACAAAGTCACACGCTCCGGGGCTTCCAGTTCAGTCTCAGAGATAAAGTCTCACTTCCTGAGAGGGCCCACCTGGTGGTGGAGCCGGTGACAAACTGGACTGAAGTGCTGGAGGCCACACAGCCTACCGTGGATTCCGATCACAGGGTCACCCTGAAAGCACGCTGGGCAGGTGCGTTCGTGCCCACGTCCTCCTGGAGGGCTGGGGAACGGGAATTATGGTGCGATGAAACCCTGTCGAGGGTGCTCCTCTCTCGCTCACTCTCATGTCCATGCATGTGTGATCCCTACGCTGAGCAAGAAAATGCCTGTGAAGAAACCGGATTAGAAACATGCAGTGACTCCAGGCGGTGTGTGAGTGACTTGCTGGAGAATGTAAAGGTCCCAGAGGAGGAAGAGACCTTTTGCCTGGAGTGATGGAAGGAGCCGCTGGGCATGAGCATGTTGGGTAGGCAGAATTCGGGGTTTCAGAGTCGGGGATGTGGTGGACAACAGCCCAACGACACTTCGGATCTAACCCCTGGATCCTGCGAATGTTAACTCAGAGGGTAAGAGGAACTTTCAGATGTGATTAAGTGAATGATTTTTTTTTTTAGAATTATTAATTTAATTTATTATTATTATTATTGTTCAACTTGCTATTGGACACATGTAAGAGAGAGAGAAAGAGAGAGAGAGAGAGAGAGAGAGAGAGAGAGCAAGCAAGCTGCCAGGTCTGGGACTTGAACTGCAGTCGGTCATGTAGTGCTTTAACCACCACACCACTGCAGGCCCTGAGTGAAGGATTTTGAGATGGGGTGAGGGGGATTATCTGGGTGGACCTGGCATAATCACACGCTTCTTATAAGAAAAAGAGAGGGGTGTTCGACCACAGACAGATGGAGGCGAGGATATGACAGAAGCGGAGGTCTGAAGACGCTACGCCACTGGCTTTGAAGATAGAGAAAGGGGCCTTGAGACAATGACTGCAAGGAATGAAGCTCTAGAAGCTGAAGGAACAAGGAAACAGACTCTCCCCTCCAGCCTCCAGAAGGAACCAGCCCTGCAGACACCTCGGTGTTAGCCCATGGACTGACTTTTAGCCTCCAGAGCTGTCAGAGAATGAATGTGCCATTTCAGTCCCTGGCTTTGTGGTCATTTGTTACCGCAGCCACAGAGGATGCAGGCAGGTGGGGACTAGGGACATGCAGGCCTGCCCTGGGCGGGCTGAGCTTAACTGGGCTGGAGGAGCTGATGGCAGAGGGGGGAGGGGGAGGCGGTGCTGGAGTAGAGAAGCAAGTCGGTCTGTGGCAGGCCTGGAACAGCAGCCTAAAGAGGGTGACTCTGAAACGTCTCGAGGGTGTCCTCTGTGTCCGGCCCTCTGCAAAGCAATGATGCCTGCCTTACGCCACTGTCACCACCCCACGCACAGATGCGGCGGTGGGCCGAGGCGCGTGGCTGCCAAAAGCAGCACAGTTGGCCCACGGCTGAGCCAGGCCCTGCGCTCGAGGCCCCAGGACTCTGGGCTGAGTCATGGCCACTCCGGCTGCTGCCTGGGCTGGGAGTCGGCTTGACAGAAGAGTGTGTTTTCAGGAAAATAACTGGGGGGAGCCAGAGAGGAAGGAGCCCGCAGGGTTTCTGTACTGCGGTAGCATTGAAATGTCGGCCCCGACAGTTCTTTGTGCTGGGGGCTCTCCTGGCTTCTAGGCTGTGAAGTAGCACCCGGCCTCCACTCACCAGCTGCCAGGAGGACCCCCACGCCCCACCCCAGTTACGAATGAATCAAAACGCCTCCAGACGCGGTGGTTGTTCCCTACGTGGTGAACTCCTTCACGAGCCCGAGGGACTTCAGGAATTCAGTGCCGACGCTGTAAGCAGGTGGGAGAAGCAGGGATGAGCGGGGAGAACGAGAGAGAAAGCCTTATCGGGGTAGGATGGTGGCCCACCGTAAGGAGGAGCAGGGAGCCAGGCTGGGGGAGGGGCCCACACGCTCAGGTGCAGACAGGTGGAACGTGAGGTGATGGAAGGACCCCAAGGTGAGGCGGTCAGAGAGAGCTGGACGTGCCCAGCTGGCAAGGCAGTCTAGCCCATTCAGGAGCTTTCTGCAAATTAGGAACCAGTCCCCTTCCTCCTGGTGGCATGGCCCTGAGGCCAGAGCCCCCCGTGCTGCCATTCCCGCTGCCTCGCTGCAGAGACACGCGTCCAGACGTCAGCACACACACAACGGCTGCTGAAGCGCCCGGAGCCGAGTTTCTTCACGTGAGAGGAGACAGAGGGGGAGGACCAAGGGCGGCATGGGAGAAAATCTCAGGTAGGGACACGAATTAAGGGGCCACTAAAAACACAGGGAACGATCAGGAGAGAGGTGGGGGCACAGAGCCGGAGAGCCAGCAGAGAGGGGGTTTCAAGAGAGAACCAAGAGTGTGGGGCGGGTCCAGAGAACACGGCCTTGGGAAAGACGGGGGGGGGGCTGGTGCTGGAGCGTCCACGGCAGAGGCTCAGTGGGAGGCTGGCAATGAGGACCAGGGGCAGGTAAGTGACAGAGCTGGTCAGTGGTAGATTCCAAGTTCAGACCAGGTCTGTCATTCTCTTTTAAAAGAGATTGGAGGCAGGTGGGGGGGATGAGAGGTGGAGGGGCTCAGAGAGAAAACATTTAACAGAAGAACGCATGTGGATGGGGCAAATGAGTTGTGGAACAGCATTTCATTTCACCACAGCTGACTGACAAGAATAGACATTGCCGACTATATATACACGCACACACACACACACACACACACACACACACACACACATATATATCTTAAAACAAAGAAAAACCAAAACAGAAAATAAAGAAAAAATCTAGTAGCATGAAAATGAACAACACAGGGACCAGCAGATGGCATAATGGCTATGTCGCTGGACTCCCATGTAGCCCACTGCAGTTCAAGTCATGGACCCGGTGGCTTAAACTCATGCCGAGTGCACGTGCGTGCGTGCCCAAGACCCCGAAAGGAGAATGGAGGAGAAGGGATTGCGGCGTGGCCATCCCCCCTGGGGGGGGCGTGACTTCTTGCTCTCTGTCTCTGTCTTTCTGGCAATTGCACGTGCCCTATAGCAAAACCTCTCATATACAGAACAAAACAAAACAAAACAAAAATTAACAACACACATCCTAATGTGGTATTCTTTGCTGAAAATGATAAATATGGTATTATCCTCGTTTGTTATTAAGCACTGCATGCAATGTTTTGAAAGTCCATATATTATCCCACAAAGATGTTCAACAATTAAATGTAAATAAGAAAGTATAAAATGGAGGCCAGCCTGTGGCATGGTGGTTAAGGCAGCTGGATTCCCACATGGCTTACCATGGTTTGAGTCCCGGACCCAGTGGCTTGAAACTCATGTCAGGCTTGTGTGCATGTGTACCCAGAAGCCCAAGAGGAGAATGGAGAAGGGATTGCAGCATGGCCATCCCCCCCGGGGGGCAGGGGTGATTTCTTACTTTCCCTCCTGTTTTCCTCTCTCCTCTCTGGTGAGCACATATGCCCTACAACAAAAAACCAGCCAAACAAAAAAACCATACAAATTATAAAACAAAATAAAATAGAAAAAAAAAAGAGAAAGGTTAAAAAGAAAAAGATTAGAGGCTTGAAACGGTTGCATTGGTGAATGTGAAGCTGAGGTGGGAGAGGAGCACCGCGAGGGAGCCTGCATGGCAGGCAGCGAAACGGCCTGGCTGACCCTGGCTTGGGCTGGGAGGCCTGGTGAGCACAGACTGCTGGTGGGATGGGTCTAGGATTTCATTCCTGCAACCCGTAACCCAAAAACTAAAGGGAAGGATCAAGTCATGGTGAGATCCAAAGAGGATTTAGGGGACAAAGGAGTCAAGGATGTTGAAGCAAGGATGGGTGTGTTTGATCATGTTTCTGGATTAGATGGCAAACTGAAAAAACATAATGAGGTTTTGCTCCTTGGGAGAAGGAGTAAATAGCTTTATCAACTTTCTGGTTACAAAAATGACATGCGTTCATTAGAAAACAACCCAATGTTACAGAGATTCGTAGTGTGGACAGCGCTCACTGCTACATCTTGATGTTCTGTGCAATGGCACACAGTAGGCCCTCAATAAGTGGTGGCTGACTGAGTGAAAGTGAAGGCCCTAGGCTGTTCTCACCCTGCTGAGAGGATACTCTTAGCAGTTTGAGGTCTTTCTCCAGATTTTTTTTTTTGGCTAGACACTGACATTTTCACATACCGCGTGTATTGTATTTCTACGTTTTTCTCCTTTTTTTTTTTTTTTGTTTAAAGACTGCATATCTCAGATATCTGAGAAAGTGAATTTTCTTGCATGCAGGGAAGGCTTTTATTTGTAACAAAGTCTAGCAGAAATAGATACAGACAACTGAGAGAAATGTAAAAAGCCCTTTCTCTCCCTTATCAAAAAGAAGCCTGAGAACCCAGGCAGGATGAGCTCAGGGCTGACTTTCAAGGCTCCCCTCGGACTCTTCCTATCTCCCGGCAACTCCTTCGCCCATCCCACAGCGAGTAGCAGCACGCACTCGGCCCTTGGAAGCCTCGCCTTCTGGGCCTCTCATGAGGTCACCCAAGTATACGTCAAGTAGTTCCCCTCTGTGTTTACTGGGCCTAGATTCCCCCGGGGGATTTATTTTAGGATTTGTAAATCTAGTTATCTCAGGACGATGTGCTAAAAGGCCGTAGCATGGTGGCGAGGTGGTTAGGAGCAGGGACTCTGAGGTCAAAGTTGAGCCCTAGCT